CCCTAGCTGTTAGGTTCATCTGTTGATTTTTTTGTGCTATTTTTATTCCTTTTTGTTGCTAACCAAAGTTTCTTAATGTATATACTTGTTGGTGAATGTGTATATTGTTTACAGTTTGGGCTGTTTGGTTTTGTATATATTACCAAGAACATTTTGTGTGCAAGACTTGATATCTAATGATTATTTTGTGGATGTGTTTGCAGGTCTTTTGGAATGAGCTGGTAGGCCGTAGTGTAGATTCATTTCCTACAATAAGGATTTCCAAAAATGTTTGTTATATTTCCTAAATTTGGGCCATTTTATACTTCTACCAACAATTAGTAGAAATTCCAGTTCTTTACAATCTTGCTGAAAATTTTATTGCCATTCTGTTAATTTTATCTACTGCAGTAAATACATGGGTATCTTATTATTGCTTGATTTTAGCCTTGAACAAATTAATGACTGGATACTAAGCATGTTTCATTCCTCTTCCCTAAAAGTTGTACATACTAATGGTACTATTTGGTGTTTTGAGTCATGTATGATTATGTTGTAATCTAACTCAACCTGAACATATAAATCTCTTGAAAAGTTGGACTTTCTTTGTGGTACCTGAATTATATATCACTTTTTTTCTAATTAAAAATTAAGTAGTAAGGTACATTTCAGTAATTGTAGTCAGTTTGCTGGGCAATATCACATCAAAACTTAGTTCTCTCAAGCTACCACTTAGTATTCCTTGACTAACTTCTTCCCATCTCCTCACTACTGTTGCCATTCCATGGTAACCACAATTTTACTATCAGTCTCTAATCTTATAATTTTTGATTTTTTGTATTTTTATTAATTTATAGTGCCAGTAATAGTATTGTAGCCACAGTTTACATTAAAATTCCTTTGTTAGGTGTGTGCTTTGTTAGTAACTTCATTCAGTCTTTTGACTTGCTGATTTTCTTTTGGTAACAAATTTGGAAATTACAATTTAGCTTATTATTATTATTGTCCAAACTTTGCTTCTGTGCATGAAAATATTCCTGTAATGTGTTTTCTTTTAGAAGCTGTTTATATTTTAAAACTTTATGTTTTGAGATACCATTCAAGTAATTTTTTTTTTTGAAACAAAGGTTTCTATGTAGCATTGAAGCCTGTCCCGGAACTAGCTCTTATAGACCAGGCTGACTTAAAATTCACAGAGAGTCACTTGCCTCTGCCTCCTGAGTGCTGGTATTAAAGGCGTACACCACCACCACCCAGCACAAATAAATTTTTATGTATAGTATGAGGTGACCTTCGTTCATATTTTCTCAATGGGTTTCCAAAATTTTCAACTACTATTTACTGAAAAAATCTCCTTAAGCTCAGGCTTGTTTTAGAGATCTTACTGAAATTCAACTGACCAATAACTCTGGTCTCAGTTTTTTAGCTTTTACTGTTCTACAGATCTGTATGAGGGCAGTCTCTTGTACCATGGTTGTAAAGCAGGTCTTGAAATCAGGTTGTGTCAGTTTTCCAATTTTGTTTTTATTTTCTTTTAGAAGATTATTTTATGATAACTATTCAAAATTCTTTGTGTTTATGCATAGATTTTATAATCAGCATTTGATTAGTTTTACCGAAAAATCTGCCTAGATTTTAATGTGAGTATGCAGTAGATACACTAGTGAGAATCTGGTCTACTTAATGATAGCAGTCCTCAAAAGCTTAAGGATGGTATATCCTTCCATATCCTTAAACCTTTAGCTTTGTCTTTGTGACATTCTGCAATTCTCAGAATAGAGACATCCAGGTTTTATTAGATGTATCCTTGTGTTCTGCTGTATAAGCCTATTGTAAATATTGTTTAGTATTTTACTTCCATTTTTGTTGCATTTCTATAGAAACATATGGTTCTAAGTGGCCACTTGGGTGCTGAGTTTGGAACCCCATTTCTCTGCAAAAGTCATAAGTGCTCTAAACCACTGAATATTGTCTCTAGCTCTTAGAATTTAGACCCTTTCAAGGCAAGCTTTTTGTTGTATTTTTAACTTTTTGCACTTAATTATACTTTTACTTGTTGTTTGTAGTGGATTGTGATGTATATGTCAGCAATAAGAGGTAGGCTTACAGGCATTTTTCCCTCTATTTCTCTGATGATAGCATATCACAGAACTGTAGTACAATATCACACCCACAATGGTACCAGCTGCACCAGTCAAAACACAGAATGCTTCTATCATTCCAATATCACTAGTGTTTGTCCTTAAAGGCCACCTCAATCTTCTTTATTTCCCAGGTCTAAAGGTCAAGTTTTAATGATTTTTTTCAATCATTGGTATAGAGTTGGATTCAAATAGATGTATAAATTACTAACACTTATCTAGTATTTGAATATATGAATAGATAAAATTTTCTCTGTTGCAATTTGGTCATATTTCTTACTTCCTAGAAGTCTGTGTTATACAAGGGATTGTAATGAAATTGATTTATTTTCATCTTACAGAAACTGTATTATTTTTAAAGTTTTTATGTATATTTATTTATTATGTATACAGTATTCTGTCTGTCTGTATGTCTGCAGGCCAGAAGAGGGCACCAGACCTCATAACAGATGGTGGTAAGCCACCATGTGGTTGCTGGGAATTGAACTCAGGACCTTTGGAAGAGCAGGCAGTGCTGTTAACCACTGAGCCATCTCTCCAACCCCAGAAACTGTATTTTTCTGTTGTACTAATTGTCTCACATAAAAGTTAATTATGTTAGACATATCTTTGTTAAACTGCTATCCAATGCCCAGCAGTCTAATACCAGCTCTGTAGATACAATGAACAAAGCAAATATTTGTTCCCCCTATGCGGCTTCAGCTTGGTCAAGAAAAAAATGAATAAAATAATTACAGATGATCATAAGTATAGAATCTGGTACTCTGTGGGAACTCAGAGAAGGTTTCCTTGGGGAAAAAGTTCTTGGAGTAAGGTAGAAAGATTGAATGAGGGACGTGGTCAGATATTGAGCGACTTGTGTGAGTACTCTGAGGCAGAAGGGAACACAGTGAGTTTGTGTAGGTTTGGGGCGTATAGTGGCAAGGTGTAGGGAGTTTGTGTAACCTGGATAATTTACAAGGAAAATGAGATTAGACAATTAAATGGAGACCAGATTTTATAGGACCTTTTATAAAATGCAGATTAAAGTTTTTTTAAGGAAGGAAATGCCATGTTTTGTTTGAATTTTGGAAAAGATACTCATTTTTGTGCATAACAGATTGAAGAGAAGCCATGATCAACACAGACCAGATTGGAAGCCACTGTAGTCATCTAATTTAAAAGTGTTGCTGGCATTCCTAAGGTCATGACAATGGAGACAGAGAAATGGAATAGTTGAGGAACTAAAGTCTGAATCCACACACCATTTGTTTCCTTTAAAATATCTTAAGAGATGACATTTAATTTATCTTCTCCAGTTCTTTGTAATGTTACTGTACTGCTAATGTGGTTCTTTGGAAGTCACTGTTTGTTATTTATCTTACTTGACATTAACAGCTAATTTCTGCCTTTACTGTTATATTTCTCTTGCTGTGATAAGACACTATAACCAAAGCAACTATAGAAGAAAGAATGGGGTGGGGGTAGTTTCAGAGAATGAGTCCATGACCATCATGGTGATGAGCATGGAAGCAGGTAGGCAGACGTGGTAATAGATCAGTAACTAAGAGCTTGCATCTTGATCTACAGTTACAAGACAATGAGAGCTAACTGGGAGCAGGGTGGGCTTTTGAAACATCAAAGCCTGGCCCCAGTGACAGGCCTCTTCCAACAAGACCACACCTCCTAATTATTCTTAAACAGTTCCACCAACTGTTGACCAAGTATTCAAATATATGAGCTTATGGGGACTATTCTCATTCAAACTATCACAGTTACTTTGCTGTTTAGGACATTGTTTGGATTTTTAATAATGAAATAACATATATAAAATAACATATAAGATTTGCTAAATAATATGTAAATACTAAATGGTGTTTCTTCTAGTAAATTAGTTGGACTTTTATGAAGTAATTATAAAGTAAGCTTAACTAAAGATATTTCTGAGATTTTTCCTGGTTAGCACTTGTCAGTTGAAAGGAAAGGGAAGTCGTTGGTAGGGATGATAAAGAATAGCAGGGACATCAGACCTCTAAAATGAGAAGACTGGCTCTTAAATTAAAAAGAAAAAATGGCATATGTGATGTGCTATTTACGTATATGTAACTGCTCTTTTGTTATTGAAGCTCCACATTCTAAATTATTTCCTGTAATTATCACACCAGAAAAACTGATACAAAAAAAATTCAGGGACCAGTGAGTCAGTCAGAGCGTATGCCTTATTAGAACTTCTAACACTTTTTTTTTAAGTTAGCTGAAGGAAGGATGGAGGCTTAGTGAGTGAAAAGCACTGCTTTCTGAACTCTCTTTCCCACCATGACCTTTTATCTTGGAAGCCTGTGCAACCATGGATTGCTTACAATACTTTTAGAATAAAATCCTTCCTAGTGTTATGTTTTGGAAATGTATGAAACTAAACCAATCTAGCACTTTAGTTTCTATAAAAGATTTTTTGTTTGTTTGTTTTCTTTTCTTTTCTTTTCTTTTCTTTTTTCTTTTTTTTTTTTTGTAATTTTATTAAATTATAAAAAGTTTCCATTTACGCCCCTCCTCCCAACACCCTCCCACTCCCCCCCTCCCTCTCCTCCTCCCTCTTTGTCCCCAAGGGAAGTCAGGGTCTCCTGCCCTGTGGGAAGTCCAAGTTCCTCCCCCCTCACTCCAGGTCCAGGAAGGTGAGCATCCAAACAGACTGGATCCCAAAAATCCAGTACATGCAGAGGAAACAAGTCCCAGTGTCATTGTCAATGGCTTCTCGGAAAGACTGCAGGCCAGCCACATTCAGAAAAACCAGCCACATTCAGAGAATCTGGTTGGATCACATGCTCGTTCAGTCACGGTCCATCTGGCCTTGGTAAACTCTCATTAGATCCGACCCCTTGTATCAGTGGGTGATAGTATCCCTCGCAGTCCTTCGTCATTTTCTTCCTCCTTTTGCTCCTCGTTTGGATCTTGGGGGGCTCAGTTCGGTGCTCTGGGATTAAAGCTTACACCTTTGCTTACCATTTTCCTAATTTTAGGAATACTATACTTCAAAACTATTTTGAAATGTGTTTTTTGAAAAAAGATTTAAATTTTGTTAACTTGAGTATTAATAATATTAAGTAAGAGCACTTATTTTTTTAAAAAACACCTTTTAAATTTACTAGTTTAATTTTATGCATATGTGCTTTACTGTATGTAGTTTGCACTTGTGTATTCAGGAGTCTGTCCAGATCAAAAGATGCCATCAAATCTCCCAGAACTGGAGTTTGAGTTTGTGGTGGTCGCAAACTGCCGCGTGGGTGCTGGGAGCCAAAACCAGGTCTTCTACAAGAGCCAAAAGCTCTCTTAATTGCTGAGGTATCTCTCCAGTCCCTAGCACTTGGCCTTTTAAAATTGTTTTGTAGTAAAGCTTAATATTTTACTTTTCTTAGTGTGGAATGGATAACATGTCTTCATCCATAAATATATATCAAGTATAATTTTATTTTGAATATTTATTGTTATAATTAAGTATATTCTCATCTTTCCAAGCATGGTGGCACATGCTTTAAATTCCATCAGGGAGGCAGATGCAGCTGGCTCTCTGGGTTAGAGGCCAGCCTGGTCTACAGTAAGAATTCCAGGATAGCCAGGGTTACACAGGGAAAATTTGTCTCATTCTTGTGCTACCTTATTTAAATGGTTTTAGGTATCTGTGTAAATCCAGTATTTATCTGTAAAAACAATACATTGTAACTTGCAATATACTTAAATATTAACTTTATAAAACTTAGTGTATTTATTCTAAGATTTACTTTTCTTATTTGTTTCATAAATATTTCTGTTGAGAGGTGTACTTATCTTTCTGTATTTGGCTTCACCCATGAAGATTTTAAAAATAACACGGTCTTAAAAAAAAAATGAAACCAAAAACTAAAAACAGTTTAACATGGGGGACAGAATAGGCCTTCTATACTTTTTAAGCCATTTTTATGAAACATGAAGAGATTTTCTAAATGACAGACATTAGAAGAAGAGAATGGGATTTAGTGGTTTGGTGTTAGGAATGAGTTTTGACAATTTTTAGTCCCACTTTCTTACTTCTGTAGTTGTAGTCAAACCATCTTTTCCTTCTGTAGTCACCACTTTGTTTATTTGGGAAGTAGTTACTATACTTATTACATAGAGATCTGAGCTTTAAAAATATTTTATTATATATATTTATTTATTGAAAGAGGGAGAATGAGGGAGAGAAAGAAAGAAGGGATCGAGGCAAAACGGGAAGAAATTTAGTAGTATCAAAGAGTCCCACAATTGCCCAGGATGGAGTATAGCAAAAGTGTATTTATTTGAAGATAAACTCACAGTAAAAGTAGCCATCTGCAGTTTTCTGTATGACTGGGATCTGGAACCAAATTGAGCATGAGACCACGCCCAAAGTGGGCCAGTATCTTAAAAGATACTGGCTGAAGGAGTTCCCACAACAAAGGAGAGAGAGGGGAGGAGATCAAGTTATAGAGTGTACGTGGGCGTACTTGTGCTCATGTAAGTATCAGAGGAAAACTTGTGGATTTCTCTTCTGTCCTTCCTCAGTGTCATGGGTGTTGATTAAACTTGGGTTGTCAGGGTTGTTGGTGACAGGTGTCTTTTATCTGCTGAGCCATTTCAGGTCTGAGATTTAAGAATTTTATGAAGAAAAAAGTATAAAAGCACATAACACATCTTCTGTCATATAGGACATGTTTTCAATATGTATTACTTTCCATTGCATCTTTATTTTCCTAATTTTAATTTGCTTTAATCCTATGACAGTTGTAAATTTTGTTCTGGTATGTTTTTTTTTGATGTAATAAAGCATGAGAAATAAGTTTAAAATAAATGAATGACTGCATGTAGTAAGTTAACCTAGATATAAATGTTCTAATATACACTAAATACTTGAGCATTTTTTGCTTCTGCTAACTTATATATATAATATATATAATTCAAGCGCTGTAGGATATGAATTTCTTTACCTCTTGAAATATTTGATATACACAGATAACCATGAACTAAGTGCTTCTATTTATGATGTCCCTTGTCCTCTTAGATCATATTGACCCCGGTATTTCTCCAGACAGGTTTCACTGTCACAGTTCTTTCCTGGTGTTTTGTTGTGCAAATCAGTGCCAAATTTAGCATATTCATGTGTGGGGGGCATGTATTGGAGAGATGAGTAAATGACTTTTAATTTTTATTTAAAATACAATCATTTACCTTATAGTAAAAGAAGTAGTTGTATTAATTTAGTTCATGAGGACTTAAATGATTTTTAATAATTCATAAGTTTTTTCTTCAGTCAAAGAGTATGAGATTACTGCTGACTTTTTAGTTTTATAGTACCTTGTGGTACTTTCTCTACAAGGTTTAAAAGTATATGCCAGTTTTGTTTCCCTAGCACTATACATAAGAAATAATTTCTGCAAATGCTGTAAAAAGAATGCCTTCAGAAACCATTAAATGCTGTTTACATCTTAAAAGGATTGGTCAGTTTCATTGTCTTCTTTGTCAATCTTGATCGGAGCTCACAGACTAAGGCTATAAGCCTGCATGTGCCTGGCAACTGTTACCTAGTGACAGTTTCAGCTGCAGTAGCCATTGGCTGTGCTGATTGGGGCAGGAGGACCGAGTCACCTTTCTGATGGTGAGTTGTTCTGCATCAGCTCTGGATGAGGAGGAGCAGACTCTGGCTCAGGTGGAAGCAGCGAGACTGAGAAACTGTAAAGACTCTCCCGGCAGCATCTTGATAACTGCATCACAGTAAATCGGACTTCTGAATCAAGCAGCCCCGCTTCACAGCTGATATGAGTGAATTCGCATGAGAAGCATTACCTTATTCCTGTAACAAGAGAACTATTTTGTGATAAGTGAAACTCAGCATGTCCAAGGAGGAGTATTCTGTGGCTGACATAAAAGAAGGACTTCCCTGAATGATGTGTTGCTGCATGAGAAAACAACTTTGAGAAGAATGCTTTCTATTAAGCTGCTACATTGTTCTTGAAGGAAATGTTTTCATTTCTAATGCATGCTATTTCTTGAAAAGCTATACCAACAAAGAGTGACAAGAGACTCCCTGAATTGCTTGTACTTGGGGGAAAGACTTTGGCAAATGTTAACCCGGTGCCAGAATGACCTTGGAAGCCTTTTGGATGGATTCTGCCCTTCCAGAAACACAGTATGTCAAAGCCCAGGATTTAAACCCATCTTGATGTGTTGAGATATTTTAAAACAAAGACTATTTCCCAGCCTACCTGATGGCCCTGCTTTAATTGAGTTTTTGCTTTAAATAGAATTCAGAGACGGAAGAGGCATTTTGTTAACATATGGCTGCTAATAACTGCAAATATAATAAAACAAGGTAAATTTCCACTTTCAAATATTTAGTTGAAGTAATGATTTAATATTGTTAATCTCCTAATAGAAATAGGAAAGCTGTAACAAATTAGAATATGCAACCTACTAGAAAGACTTAACAGATACTAGCAGCTTCTCTAGTGAAATGTGCTCAGTGTACAGGGACATCTCTATTACTGTCTAAATTTCATCTACATTTATGATGTATGTGTATTGCTGCATATGTGAGGAATTACTTCGAGCTGTGTGTTTCATTATGCTTCTTTACAAGGAGATATCCTACCAAATAATGAATGTTATTTTTAGTTATAGAAACTGAAGTTAATAACAAAGATTTTAATTTGAAACAGAAGAGATATAAATTGCATTGCTGTCAGCATATCAGCAACTGAGGTGGTCTGAAACTAATTTCATGTAAATGTTCAAATAATGAATAGAGAATTAGGACTTTAGATATTTATTCTGCTTTTAGTTTTAGGTGTTGTTACACTAACTCATTGTGTAATATCTTCTCTACTGGAAATTATCTTTTATTTTCATAAACATTATATAGCAATCTGGAACCTGATTTTTACTCCTGTGTACCTCATTGTGTCCATACAAATGATTCTTTTGTAATTAGCCTTGATGAATTATTGTTCTTACCTTTTAAAAAATGAAAGAGAAATGGTTCCTAAAGTTTTTCCATCAGTATCAGATGTGAACCAAGGCCAAGGACACTTTTTGTAATGTGAACTTTTTCCTGGCTTTTCATCTAAAACTAAGATCTTAATTATTTAAATTCTAAAATATGAATACATTTTTTATTGTCGTTCATCACAGTTGAAGCAGGAGACCTTAGACAGTTTAAGACTGTTTCTTTTATATTTCTTTCTAGCTGATCTCTAAAAAAACTGCATCTTGAGAGAAACATTTCTTCCCTTGACAAGATGTTTTTTTGTTTTTTTTTAATTTTTTTTTTACAGATTTAATTTTCATAACACTAGCTAATAAATCCAGTTTCTCTAGAAGTGACTGTATGTGCAAAAGTTGCTTGAAAGCACTGGAAGGAGCTAACCAGAGACCTCTTTTCACCTTTCTAGCTCATCCTCCTCCTTTATCCCCCAAAGCTGAGATGTGCCACTGGTGAATTAAGGCTGATGAAGAGACCTGAGCACACTGTGAGATGCTCAGCTGTAATACAGGCATTGGCACTTTCTACTAAAGCAGGTTCTCAGACACTGATTTGCAGAGTGTAACAGATGCTGGCACGGGCACCTGCTTGCTGCAGCCAAAGCTACAAATTTTCCTAATTCTAAGCCATGAATGAATCCAGGTGGACTGAATGGAGGATCCTGAACATGAGCAGTAGCATTGTGAATGCATCTGAGCATCATTCCTGCCCACTTGGATTTGGTCACTACAGTGTGGAGGATGTTTGCATCTTTGAGACAGTTGTTATTGTCTTGCTGACATTTCTAATCATCGCTGGGAATTTAACAGTTATCTTTGTCTTTCATTGTGCTCCACTGTTACATCATTATACTACAAGCTATTTCATACAGACAATGGCATATGCTGACCTCTTCGTTGGAGTTACCTGCTTGGTTCCTACTCTGTCCCTTCTACATTACTCTACAGGTGTCCACGAGTCACTGACTTGCCAGGTGTTTGGATATATTATCTCAGTTCTAAAAAGTGTTTCCATGGCCTGTCTTGCTTGCATCAGTGTGGATCGCTATCTTGCAATAACCAAGCCTCTTTCCTACAATCAACTGGTCACCCCTTGTCGCCTGAGAATTTGCATTATTATGATTTGGATTTACTCCTGCCTAATTTTTTTGCCTTCTTTTTTTGGCTGGGGCAAACCTGGTTACCACGGTGACATTTTTGAATGGTGTGCCACATCTTGGCTCACCAGTGCCTATTTTACGTGCTTTATTGTTTGTTTACTTTATGCTCCTGCTGCCTTGGTTGTCTGCTTCACTTACTTTCACATTTTCAAAATTTGCCGGCAGCACACCAAAGAGATAAATGACCGGAGGGCCCGATTCCCTAGCCACGAGGTAGATGCCTCTAGAGAGGCAGGGCACAGCCCCGATCGTCGCTATGCCATGGTTTTATTTAGGATAACCAGCGTATTTTACATGCTATGGCTTCCGTATATTATTTACTTTCTTCTAGAAAGTTCTCGTGTCTTGGACAATCCAACACTGTCCTTCTTAACCACTTGGCTTGCTATAAGCAATAGTTTTTGTAACTGTGTAATATACAGCCTCTCCAACAGTGTTTTCCGCCTTGGCCTCCGAAGACTTTCTGAAACAATGTGCACATCTTGTGTGTGTGTGAAGGATCAGGAAGCACAGGATCCCAAGCCCAGGAGACGGGCAAATTCCTGTTCCATTTGAAGAGAACTGCACAGTAAATCAAATGTAATGTGACAGTGGTTTTGGATTGTATTCTTGATTTATTTGGAAATTTGCCCTAGAGAAATGTTTATATGAACATAAACACTATATAGTTATAGTTATAGTTGACTATGAAGTGAGGAATGATATTAAAGGTCTCTTATTTCCTTTTGTGTAAGAAAAAAAGCAAAAGGAAAGGATGTATGGAGAATAATCTCATAAGAGAATTACAGCTTGTAAATATGTGTTCAGTGTTTGATCCTCATCACTGAGGATCAAAGAAGTACTTCAAATCTACAAAATATGAGTGCTGCTTATCATCTCTTTTTGTACATTCTTTCTGCCTATGTCTCTGTCTTTTCTTTAGTCTTACTCTGTGTTTTTACTCTTTGTACTTGTAGGAGTTCATTATTTACTAACCTGTCCTTTATGAAAAGTGCAACTACTACTACATACATGAGGCCAAGTATAATCTTTCCATCATAGCACTGAGGCATGCAGTCTTTATCAGTTGTGTTGTGTTTAGGGAGGGTATACAGTAAGTGTTACATTTTATTATTTTTCATACCACATGCGTTTATGTTCTTGTCATCATCTTCACAGCACAAATTCTTCAATACAAACAGAAAGGAACAATTTTTTTTTCTTCTGTGAAAGGACTTTTGGTTTCTGTTTCCCTTTCCCCAACACCTGCTATTGCCTTTTCAGTTTTTCTCCATCTGATTCCTGTGGAGCAAACTCTATAAGTGTCTTAGCTGATGAAAGAATCCTCTATATAAGGGAGTCAAGGTGTTAAATAAGGTATTCTTTCTAACAAAGAAATCTAGTAGTTAAGAGAGTGTGTTTAATACTTTGATGGATTTTGGAAACATTTTTATCTGCTTTCTTTGAAAATTGTTCATGTGCCTAAAGTAAAGTCCTTTTTGCTATAGTAAGGTTTTTATCTTTTCTCTATAAAGCCCAGAATATTCCTAATGCAGATGCAGAATACTCGCCTGTGATGAATATCACTTTGTGCTACTCATAAAGTCCTTTAGAAAAAGTCAAACACTGAGATTGTGTGTTAGGTTTGCAACAACTTATTTCATGTCCACTACTCATTTTTATGGTATATAGTTGCATAGTCCATATTTTTAAAAAAATATAAATTATATTATGTGGCTTGTGCCTAATGTTTTCATATCGAAGTTGTTTAAGTTGTCAACATTGGAACCATATGTATGGACTTTTTTTTTTGAATGGAAAATACTTTTGTGTAGTTGTTTAGAGTAGAGGAAGCTGCCTTCTTAGTGCTGCTGGTGATGCAGTATACTTATGAAAAGCAGTTTAGAGATGTTAATATTTTGTTTTATAATGGTCTGTTTTCAAACGTGGAGATTAACTAATTTTGTAATGGGCTACCTGATAGTAAATAATAAATGGTTGGGAGTTTAGGTTCTGCCATAATAAAGCAGATGTGAACAGAGCAGCTTATATTTTTATCCTAAGTTCTTGTTAGAAAAGTTTTGAAAATTTCTATTACACTGCTGAGAATTTTTCTTCTTAGCACTTAAGACTTTTTTTTAAAATTTGTTTTATGAAAAACATTTAATGAAGCGTGCCTATGACTCTAACATAGAAGCCAACCATGTCTGCACACTGGTGTTTTGACTTTAAAAGTCTGTTAAAGAAATGTTGTCACTTTATTAAGGTTGTTCTTAACCCCTGTAAATTTTTAAATATGTAAGAAGTGTTTAAAATAAAAAATAAAATAGTATTCTATATATTAAAACCAGACTTTGTATCAGTGTACTAAAATACCAGGAACAAGTGTTGCTTGTTGGGGGATTAGAATCAGTTTGTCCTGTACTTCCACTTCTGGGATTGTGTGTGGATTTTTGTTTCCTGTTTACCAGTAGTATCTTAGATGAATTGAACTGTACCTTTTTAAATAGTATTTTCTAACTCTTCAAGTATGATAAATAAATTCTCCAAAATTATGCATATTTTACAGAAATCCATTTTTTATTTGTTTAATTTAGGATAGTTTAGAGGGGTTGGAAAGATGGCTCAGTGGTTGAGAGCACTTGCCATTCTTACAGAGACTTGACTTCCATTCCCAGCACCCAATGGGGCAGCGTACAACAACTCTGGTGGATCCAGTACCCTCTTTAGTTCTCCGCAGGCACCCACACTCATCTGTACACACCCCTTCAGACATCCATGCATACGTAATAAGAAACCAATGTTTATAGAAATTTAGAAGTCTGAACAGAAATCTTGGGGATATTTCCTCTCCTGAAATTTCCTTGTAATGTTCAGTAGTTTTGTGCTAGGCTCAGTATTAGGTTTTATGTGTATTATAATATTTAATCCTCTCTATTGCCCTTGCTCAAATCACAGTTATTTCCAATCTAGAGCTGAGGAAAAGTGACTCACTCACAATCGCTCATCCAAATATGGAACCTTCTACACACTTCTCTGGCCTGATGTCAAAGCCTGTGTCCTCTGGCATCATACTTTACAGTTGTCTACACCTGGCTTAGTAAAAAGGCCGAATTATGATCTGCACTGCTGTTTAGACAAGCTTTCAGACCTCTGCATCTCTCACTGTGCTCTTTACTTCAATTTTTTTCTGGGCATCATTTATTTTTCAGTGCTGTCTTTTGCCTCAGTCTTTTTCCTGTGGACTGTCATTTTCTTTGATATCATATACTTCTTTTATTAAAACCACAGCCTGTTAATCTCCACCTTACCAACATATTTTGTAATCAAACTAGAACTCTGGGGACATACTAACTCCTTGATTTTTGATCATTTGTGGTAAATTTTCCTTGATAGCTTTTTCAAAGCTCTTTGTACTTTTTTGAAGGGGAAGGGGGAAAAGGACTTTCTTTTAATTAAAGGAGATACTATCTTGCAGCAGAAATCACATTCCTCTGGCTTTTGAAATCCTTTGCTCCTTCTCACAAGACGTCTCGGTCTTCCTTTAGGGATTGTGTTTCACATGGCTCAGTTAGAGGCTCCTCATCACAGCTGTTCTCTGATTTTTGACTAGTTGTGACTCTACAGTGTTGTTCATCTGCCACAAAAAGAAATGTTTTTGATGAGATGTGAGCGTTTCAATTATCTGTGGATATAAGGGCCTGGGAGGAGTTGGGGTGGAATGAGAGTATAAATATAATTAAAGTATGTCTTAGTGTTCTTATGTATTTCCTCCAGGACTCCCTGGGATCACAGATCTCAGGGCTGTACCATCAGCTACATCAACCAACTCTTCAATTCTGCTCATGGTCCTGGGGAGGAATCCATATATTCCCTTGACTTTTAAAAAATGTTTGTATGTATGCCTGTGCCTACAGGTGTTCATGTGTGCATATGATAACATGTGTCCATATGATTGTGTGGAGATGATGGGTTGATGTAGTATGTCTTCCTCAACTGCTCTCTTTTTTTTTCTTTTTGGTTTTTGAGACAGGGTTTCTCTGTAGCTTTGGAGCCTGTCCTGGAACTCAAACTTAAGACCAGTTTGGCCTCGAACTCACATAGATCCACCTGCCTCTGCCTCCTGAGTGCTGGATTTAAGGTGTGTGCCACCACTGCCCAGTCCTCAATTGCTTTCTATCTTACTTAATTTCTTTTTCATTTATTTAGTTGTGTTTGTGTCTGCACATGCATGTCCACCAACACATATGCACCACGGTACACATGTGTAGGTCAGAAAACAACTTGTGAGAGTCAATTCTGTCTTTCTGCTATGTGGGTTCTAACAATTATCAGGCTTAGCAGAAAGTGCTTTTACCCACTGAATCATCTTGCAGGCAATCTACCCTATTTTTTGAGATGGGGTCTCTTTCTGAATCTGGCTAGATTTTCAGGCCAACAAGCTCTAAGGATCCTCCCATCTCTGCCTTCCCAGTGCTGGGATTACCTTTATACCTTTATACCTGGCTTTTATGTAGATGATGGGCAACTTACTGTAGTTGGATTTTCATGCTTGTCCAGCAAGTACTTCAGAAACTCAACTCTCTCTCCAGCTCTTTAACTGATGTTGGTGGGCTTCCTGGTTGACAAGTCAGGAGGGTGGTTACCTGCTGTCTGCCTCTTAACCCGTTTTGTCCTTAACTTTTCTTTGGGGCCTGGCTAAAGACCAGACACACTAAATGTATATAGTGTAATACATTTTCTAAATTGTGTTTGCCTCAGAGCCTCAGAAAACAGAAATTTTATCAGGGGACAGAGACTTTCAACTTCTGCTGTTTGAAAAATGTACATTACTGAATTAAAAAAAAAGTTTTTTCATTTTTTTAAAAAAATACGTCGTATAATGTTCTCAAAGAATTATAAAAATATATTAAAAACATTTGTCACATAGTGAAAGGGAATGTGTGAGGAACACTCTGGGCTCTGCAATTTACTTCTTTTCGTTGAATTTCAGTATATATTTACATAACAAGATGATAAATCAGGACTGTCCTTTTAATCTGTCAAGAATGGGTTAAGAAATATGATATATGTTTCCTATCATGGCATTGTATTTTGTAGTACCTACCTGGTTTGTTTTTAAGTGAAAGTCAGAAATTATACTGTCCTTTATTACCCAGGGATTCTATTACGTGAATAGTTGTTTGTACAGCTTTGCAGTGTTGAAGGGTTGGCATATCACTAACATAGAAGCTTGGGCTGAAATCTTAGCTCATTGGTTTTGGATTGATACTGACTGTTTCAAGACTTCAGTTTTCTCATTGACAAAAATCAGAGGCTGGTTCCTTCTGTTACAAAATGTGGGACTCAGCATGGCTTTGCATAAAAAGTATTTCAAATGTTTGAATTGCTGTTTAAGTTTTTGCTCCCACATTTATTACCATCACAACTGAAAGCTAACCAATTCCAACTGAAACAGAATTAATCCTTTCAGAATCAGGCTTAAAAGATAGCATCTTTTCCTGCTTTCAGGTGTTTTAAAGCCAGATTTTGGATTAGACTTAGATGTTTTTAATTACAGAAAAGTCCACAGCATCTGAAGACATATTCCCCAGGAATAGTTATTTGTGCTCAAAGATATCCCACAAGCAGTTGTTTAAGGGGCCAGAGATTGCTTTCTTATTTCTGTTTATTAATTAATGTTTAAAACAATCTTTTATCAACCGGCTTACAGTAGTAAATAAGGATTGTCTTACTATCTTTTTGCAATATGAACTGTCATTTATTAAAGTAGAATTTTATATATTTGTCACATATATTTTTCAATTATTGGTAAGCTTGTTTAATCTTCAGATAGCATGAATTGTATAATTTTAAATATAAATGAGATTGTTGGCTTAAGGGGATTTTCTCAGATCCTCCCCATTCTCTCATCATTAGATGTGAGAAAGATGCAACTATGTAATAAGCAGATAAAAAGAACAAGATATGAGAAATCTGACAGTGTGACAGATATTCTGAGCAAAGTGTCATCTATGCTCAGCTAGGACTGTCACTGGGCACAGTGGCATACGCTGTTGGGTCATTGCTATGCAGTTTTTTGTATTTACTGTGAGTGATTTTCTTCTCTGTGTAAAGCTATTTTATAGCTAGGGATGTAGTTCATCCTACCATGCACAGAGCGATGGATTCAAATCCACAGGACAGCATAAACCAGAGTAATTGGTAGTAAAAACTTAGAAACTCCTGTTCCAGGAGATTCGTCGCCCTCTTCTGTTCTCCAAGGGCATTGCGTGCATGTTAATGCACAGATATACATGCGGGCAGAATAGCATACCCATTAAATAAAAATAAATCTTTCATAAAACAGCCACTTTATTTTAGGATTAAGAAAAATAAGTAACTACTGAGGAAAATGAAACAATTTTAATGGAAAAATTGATTTCAATATTTTTGAAGATGAATGTTTTCTCTAATGTTAGTTTTGCTTCATAATTTTAAAATATTAACAACTTTTTAAAAGTAGTATAAATGATTATGAATATTAAGATATTATGATGTTTTTGTTCTTTGATAGTTTTCTGTTGTTTTCTTTGTATAATGAGGAATTATTTTATGATCAGGGAAAGAAAATTTTTGTTTCACTAAATGTTAAAATATAAATATTTTGAGAGGCCAGTAAAATTGCTTAGTAAATGTGTTGTCACCAAGTCTAATGACTTGAGTTAAATTTCCTAATGAACATGGTGTGAGGAGAGAATGGACTTTTAAAAGTTGTTCTCTGAACACACACACACACACACACACACACACACACACACACACAGACCCTGTTGTTACAATTATTTTGAATTTCATAAACCAGTTTTTGCTAATATTACAAGTAACTAATAATGTCAAAATATCTTCCTATGAAGATACTTTATATAGCATTATGATTTCTGAACTATTTATTTCTGGTATTTTTTGTTCTTCCTCCTTCCCTCCCTCCTTCCCTGTCTTCCTCCCTCTCTGTCTCTTGAAAACTTGTAATAGTAGGTGTTTTTGATGTATTTTTGCTTTAACCTGAACAGTTTGGGGTTACTGAATCTGAAATGATTTCAGTCTTTGCTTTAGTGAACTATTGAATGCATCTTTCTGTATTTTTTCATATCTTTAGCAACAAATGATTCTGCACCAGAGAAATAGAATCTCTTGGCTTTATTAATTGTGTTTTCTAGATAATAGAATTCTACTTTTAGTTCCCCATTTTTGAAAAACATATTTATATTTTAACAACAATGCATTTTTATATAGGATTCTATCAGCCAAGGTAAAGAAAGTCACAATAGAAGATTCACTCACACTGTAGCTTAGACAAAGCTGGAATTCACTCTGTGGCCCAGCTGGCCTTGCACTCTTTGTGACCCTGTCTATGTTTAAACGTCTTGAGTATTTTGGACTCAAAGACATAAACCACCAATCCTCGATTTTAGGATTGAGAAAAATAAGTATACACTGAAGAGTTTGCTATTCTGAGAATTTTTTCATTTTTTGTAAATCATAAAATATATTTTAATAAAGTGCCCTTGCTTCCAAAACCAAGACATGCATATCTACGTAGTAGATATTTATTTAATAGAGAAAGGAAACTTGTTAAGATAAATAATTGTAGTATTTAGATTATCTAAAAAGGGAATCAATTTTAAAGGATCAGTTGAAGAAATGATAACTGGAAGGAATGAAGACAACTCCACCTATCAGAGCTGCAAACATGACTTTTGACAAAGCACAGAGGGAGTATGGTGTGCTGACAATTGCTTGCTCTGGAGTTAGGCTGCCTGGGTTGCATTATCACT